TATTAGACAACGAGCAAAAGGCGGTGCAGTCGCTCGACAGAAACGGAAGGGAACGCATCGGTCTCTGTGTAGTTTTACTAAGTATAGAATATTCATTTTTCATTCATAATTAGAAAGTACCGTTATGATTTATTAAACTTAAAATTCATTAGTCATGTTACTGATTAGATGTCATTTATACAATTAAAACTTACTAACTAGGTTATTCAAAAATATTAACGTTATAATAGCCTAATTAGAATTACAACGGTTTAAATTTACTATTGTTTTTTTTTATACCACTGTGGTGGCAAACAAGCATATGGCCCACCTGATGGTAAGTGATTACCGTAGCCTATGAACACCTGCAATACCAGAGGTATTACGCGTGCGTTGCCGACCCTGAAGAAACCTCTTTACCCCCCTTTTGAAGAACCCCATGCTGTAGTCTCTTGGGAAAACATCGGCAGAGAGCTCACTCCACAACCTGAGTGTTCGTGGTAGGAAACATCTCTGAAACCGCGCAGTACGCGACCATTGAGGCTGTAGGACATGATGATGAACTCTCCTCCTAATTTATATACATAATTATCGATTATAGTGTTGTTAAAATTGTCAAGAGGGTATTCAGAATATTATGGCTTACTATGTGATTCGTTAAAATAAATGTATTAATCCTAAAATTGTTTTTAGTATATACTAAGTGTAACAATTGTTTGTTTAAATAGCGATGACATCGTGTAACATATTTATAAAAAAAAATATACATATAATTAGGTATCTAGATTTTTTTTGATGAGTGAAAATGGTATGGTAACCCCGCTTTCGCTAACGGTATATACCGGCGGGGCACCAGTGAGAGATGACAAGTGAGGATTAAAAGACAGGTTAGTTAGCCCACCACGATGAATATACCTAGAATTCAGCACGATTGTTTCCAGGGGGGACCACGTGGAGGTCGACCTGATAGGGTTTATTATTAGCAATTGGTCCCTTCATTAGTAACGATCTCTTTCCCTTCATGCTTTGTTTATTGTCCTTGAATAAATAAACGAAAAAAGTAAAAATAATAACTGGGCACAAATAAATTATTCAGGCGATAGTAGGCTTGATTTGTATACGTTATAATATGGGAAAGAACAAAGCAGTTTTTGACCGTAAAGTGAATTGTCTAGAACATGACTGGTTTTTAAAAAGTTCGTAATACGACCCTAGACCGGATTAGGGGTGGCGCTGTAAAGTAAAGTTACTGGACGAGGTACAATCTACGCTGCTGAATAAATCTTTGTTTCTACAATGAAGTGCTGAAAGCCCTGGATAAATTGGATTTTGTGAACAATATGTACAAATATACATGTATAGGACGCGTATTTATATTTGACTTCAAATAAACAGTTTTTCTAGGCGACTAAGGGAGCTTATGGTAGAGGGATTGGCAGTAGCTTTTTTTTATACAACTTAGAATGGCAAACAAGCTGACGGCCCACCTGATGGAAAGTGGTAACCGTCGCCATGATATGATAAAGACATGAGCAGTATCATGGACATAACAGAGTATACTGTTTCGCCCATTATACCCCTCACGCGTTGCCATTCCTGAGGACTCAGGTGTTATTCCTCTGTACCCTGTAAATTCACGCCATATCCCACCCTTCAAACCGAAACACAGCCATGCAAACACAACTACTTCACGGTTGAAACACGAATAGGACAGAGGTACCCAAGCAATTATTTATTTATATTTTTTTTTACACTACTAAGGTAGGAAACTAGTACGTGGCCAATCATAACAGCAGTTAACTGTCCAATGCTGAGCCTGAGGGCTATCCTCCTCTCTTTTCTGAAGAACCTCCTGCTGTAGTCTCTTGGCAGAATCTCGTCAGGAAACTCGTTCAATAATTTGAGCGTTCATTCGTTTATCAATATTAAATCTGTTTTATGTAAAATCTTATATAATTCTGTCACAATATTAATAAAATATTAATACCGATCATTTGTGCAAAACTTCGTACTTCAATTAAATTTTAATCGCATCCATTTGGACAGAAACGTATTTCTTGGATTTCAAATTTAAATCCAGTTAATTAAATTATTGTGCGTCTGTCAAAACAAACGTCATTAATTATTTTAAAATAATTATTTATTATAATTAATTATTTTTTGCATATACTGCAACAGCGCCCACTAGTTGCCTAAATTAAGCAGAGATTGTACTATAGATATTTTTTTTTAATGAATTATAATAGAATGGTAACCCCGCCTGCGCTATCGGTATACACTGGCGGGGCACCAGTGAAGGGTGATAGATGAGAATGAAAACAGGCCAGTTAGCCCATCATGATGAATTCATCAGGAATTAACCATTATAGTTTCCAGGGGGAACCGCATGGAGGTCGACCTGGTTGGGTATATTGCTAGTAATGGGATTCTTAGTCTCTATCACTAACAATCCCTTTCTCCCCACTATAGATATTTTTTTGTAATGGATGATAATGGAAAGGTAACCCTACCCGCGCTATCGGTATACACCGGCGGGGCGTCAGTGAAGGATGATAGGTGAGGATGAAGTAGGTCAGTTAGCCCATCGTGATGAATTCAACAGAATTGTTCACGATGGTTTCCAGGGGGAACCGCGTGGAGGTCGACCTAATAAGGCATATTACAAGCAATGGGGCTGTGAAACTCCATTGCTAACAATCCCTTTCCCCCACTATTGGTATTGGAAAACTGAATAATAGGTAATTATTTTCGTTTTGTAAATACAATCATATCATACGCTAAAATGGCCGTGTAGTTTCGGCATAGAATAGGCCACCCCCCCGTGGGTATCATAGGTATCGACTAAGGGAGGGCGAAAAATGGGCAGTAGCGTCCCTCTTAAAACAACTCTAAAGTCTGACTACGGTTGCCAGTCCGGCTGCCAAGCGTGGCAAATACCAGCGAAACCCCCCGAGGGGGAGATTTATGTTCAACAGTGGACAGTTAAAGGCTGATATGATAATAATGATACGCTAAAAAATATCTAGATCAAACAAGCGTCTACAAACAGACACACCTACAAATATTCATATTAGAAGAGGGAGACACTGTACAAAAGTCGATTGCTTAGGTACCTCTGTCCCATTCGTGTTTCAACCGTGAAGCAGTTGTGTTTGCATGGCTGTGTTTCGGTTTGAAGGGTGGGATATGATAGAGAAATTACAGGGTACAGAGGAATAACACCTGATTCCTCAGGAATGACAACGCATGGGGGATATCATGGGCGAAACAGTATACTATGTTATGTCCATAGTACTGCTCATGTCTATAGGCAATGGTTACCACTTTCGATCAGGTGGGCCGTCAGCTTGTTTGCCATTCTAAGTTGTATTAAAAAAAATGTATTTTACAAGGATCGAAGCGGCGACTATCGGAAGGTGAGGCGATACAACAAACCGCTGTACCAGCAAGGTGGTCAATAAAACAGTATTACAGCAGCAATTTTCCAGAAAACCTTAATATTCGTTTTGTCATTGTCCCACTGTTCCGGACACGTACAGTGAGTGACATATCGCCTGTCTGGATATTGCTGCGTCTGGCGTTAATCGATGGCCGCCCAGTCTATGACATACGAGTGTAAACGATTTTGCTTACAAATACATCATACTTTGTACAAAAGTCAATTGCTTGGGTACCTCTGTCCCATTCGTGTTTCTACCGTGAAGCTGTTGTCTGCATGGCTGTGTTTCGGTTCGAAGGGTGGGATATGGCGTGAATTTACAGGGTACAGAGGAATGACACTTAAGTTCTCAGGAATGGCAACGCATTGGCGAAACAGTATACTCTGTTATATCCATGGTACTGCTCATGTCTATAGGCGACGGTTACCACTTTCCATCAAGTGGGCCGTCAGCTTGTTTGCCATTCTAAGTTGTATAAAAAAAAAAAGATTAATTCTTGTCAAATTCGTCACGATAAGGCATTCATCCTCACATATCCATTTCATTTTCATCCTTTAAAGTGGGAGCTACTAAGTACTAACTCGACTTTAGTCCATCACTTACACCACAGTTTGTAATGTCGCATACAATTGACGCATACCCCATTCCATTAGTGCTGACGTTAATCAATACGGGAGCAGACAGAGTGGACCAGCCTCGCACTGCACGTAGTCGATAATCATTGTGCAGTGTTGATTTAATTAAATCAATGTCAAGTTACAGTGATGCAGCTGCGCAAGCAGACGTTAGTTGAGACTTTGTGGGTAATGTATTTTGCTTTGTTCTTGTTGCTTGAAAAGTTTTCGGCTAAATGTTTAAAATTACTATGAATAATATTGTTTGCTTTTTACAATCCATTCCAATCCAACTTGCAACAGGATAATTATTTTATATATATATATATATACTAGCTGATAACACTAGAAGTGTATAAAATTAAAAAAAAAATTTTAGGGATGGGTCACCCTTATCATTGAGGGGTATAAAAAATAGATGTTGGCCGATTCTCAGACCTACCCCATAATGAACATAAAATGTCATGAAAATCGGTAACGCCGTTTCGGAGGAGTTTGGTAACAAACACCGTGACACGAGAATTTTATATATTAGATATATATTTAATGGATATTTAATTAACTCTGATGATAATTATTTATATAAAGATAAGAAAAGATATATTTATTTAACAAAGTATGTTTGTATTAGCACAGAATTTATCATTGCTTCCTACACTAGGCTGAGCCTGTCCTGTAGGAAGCAGTACTCGCGTTATCATATACATGCATATAGATATTAAACATAGGCTTTTTAGCAGTACTCACAATTGTGTAACTAATCTGTATAATGCAATTATTTCATTTAGATCTCACCACCAATACACATGTATTAATAATAAGTATTATGAATGTGTGTATGTTATGTATTATTTTCATCTTCGTAAATAATACAGTATGTTTTATACGTGTATAAGTATATTTGTTATTTATATGTATTTATTTGTGTGTCTAAATAAATTTTAGTATGTATATCAATTAATTTTAGCATTCGAGCATTCTAACAGTTCCTTAAGTTTGACTGGGAGAGAATACTTTTAGAAGAATTTGTATGATTTTTTGCAAGCTTCTTATAATTATACGAAGTAAGATATGAAGAGAAGAAGTAATGTATCATCATTCCTTTTTATCCTTAATACTATGGTAAGAATAAGGATTTTTTTTATACAGCTTAGAATAGCAAACACGCTGACGTAAAGTGGTAACCGTCGCCTATAGATATAAGCAGTACCATGGACATAACAGAGTATACTGTTTCGCCCATGATACCCCCCATGCGTTGCCATTCTTGAGAACTCAGGTGTTATTCCTCCGTACCCAGTAAATTCACGCCATATCCCACCCTTCAAGCTGAAACACAACCATGCAAACACAACTGCTTTACGGTTGAAACACGAATGGGACAGAGGTACCCAAGCAATCGACTTTTATACAAAGTCTCACTCTTTCTTCTTCTTAGAGGTTTCTTCAGGGTCGGCAACGCGCGCGTAATACCTTTAGTATTGCAGACGTTCATAGGCTACGGTAATTGCTTACCATGAGGTGGGCCGTTGCTTGTTTGCCACCTCAGTGGTATAAAAAAAAAAAAGAAAAAATACTAAACATTCACCTTTTTCTAGCAAACTTTGACTTCAATATATATCCTTTCTAGTTGAAAAGGGAACGTTAAACACTAATAAAATGGCCCAACAAAAATGCCAGCACTAATCTATTTTCCGTGAACATCTTCCGTAATCTCCTTCCGCGACGTACGAAGCAATAAACCGAAGGTATACCTGCTTTAAATATTCAAATCAAGCCGCTTTTCTATTGAGATGAGTTTAGTTTTTTATCACAATAGTTGAGAAAATTGACTTCCAGTTTACATTGGAAATGTCCTAATGTTAGACGGGTAATGAAGGCATTTGTTACATTTATATATCTTATTTCAATAATAGAAATAATGTTCACAATTAAAAGATTTCGTGACAAGAAACAGAATTTACAAGTAAATCAAATGAGCCGAATTAGAGAAAATCAAGTAACGGAGGGACTGGCTGAAAACCAGCTCTGTGCAGTTCACATTGCGCTGGGACACTCACAGCATCAGCTGAGCCGGTTCCTTTTGCCGAGTATGGGACACTTTTTGTATATGTTATTTATATTTTATATGGTAATTGTATGGCAATAAATGTTTCTATTCTATTCTATTCTAAATAACGTGTACACAATTTACTTATAATTAAGATTATTGTCATCATATCAGCCTTTTACTGTCCACTGCTGAACATAAGTGCCAGTAGTTGCCACGCTTGGCAGGCGGATTGGCAACCGCAGTTAAACTTTGGAGATGTTTTAGGAGGAACACCGCTGCCCGTTCCTCGCCCTCCCTAAGTCGCCTCTTACGACACCCACGGGAAAGGAAGAGCTGGCCTATTCTAGCCCGGGACTGATACGGCGAATTCATGTCATAATAAGCGTTAAATTGATATTTGTTAAGGAGATTATTTATAATATTTTAGAGAAATGTATATTGCTTACATTTATATTTTTGTATGTAAGTACTATAAAACTAAGTATAAAGAACTCTTTTAGAATTAAGTACTCTTTAAGCTTGCCTTTGTACATATGCTTAACTCTGTCATATTTCTTATGTAATACTAGTATGTACAATAAAGTGTAAATAAATCAAATAAAATTTAATGAAACTTTAATTTAACAAAACTCACATCAATTTTGTTAAAGTAATTACAGACGAGTGTTACGTTTATTGCGCATTTTGTATTTTTATCGAAACCATTTTGTTTTCAATTTAAACATGCCAAAGATACGATTACAAAATCCAGTATCCTAAATAAACAGTGTTTTTTCCCTTTCTTGATTCGCCCTCCTCAGTTTGGTGAGCTTTTGAAGGCAGATCAATTAGAGTTCGACTATTCAAATTGAATAGGCTTTTTTCAGGTTCGATTTAAGTCTACTTGTCGTATCTTGATATTATAAAATAACTTGGGAAATGGAATTTCTATTATTTTGGATAAATTCGTATATGTTTTTTTTTATACAACTTATAATGGCAAACAAGCTGACGGCCCACCTGATGGAAAGCGGTAACCGTCGCCTATAGACATGAGCAGTACCATGGACATAACAGAGTATACTGTTTCGCCCATGATACCTCCCATGCGTTGCCATTCCTGAGGACTCAGGTGTTATTCCTCTGTACCCAGTAAATTCACGCCATATTCCACACTTCAAACCGAAACACAGCCATGCAAACACAACTACTTCACGGTAGAAACACGAATGGGACAGAAGTACCCAAGCAATCGACTTTTGTACAAAGTCTAGCTCTGGTATACTGTATACAGTATACTTTACTATCATCATTATATCAGTCGTTGACTGTCCACTGCTGTACATAGGCCTCCCTTATAAAAGGAGGTTTGCCAGTAGTTGTGATGCTTGGTGTGCAGGTTGACAACCGCCGTTAGGCTTTGGAGATGTTTTAAGAGGATTTTTGAGAGTTCGCTCGTCCTCCATCAGTCGCCTGTTACGATATCCACGGAAAAGGAAGAAGCGGCCCATCCTATGCCGGGACCGCACGGCAAACTATATTGTTGGATGGGGGAAAAGGGATTGTTAGCAATGGAGACTAAGAATCCCATTGCTAACAATATACTTTTGTACTACACTATACGTATTGAAAATTGTTTTAACAAATCATGTTATGTTGGTGCAATAAAGTGTTAAATAAATAAATAAAAAATAATATACCCAGCCAGGTTGATCTCCTCGAGGTACTCCCTGGAAACTATCATGGTTAATTCCTAATGAATTCATCTAGGCTAGCCTGTTTTCATTCTCATCGATCACCCTTCACTGGTGCTCCGCCAGCGTATCCCGTTAGTGTAGGCGGGGTTATCATTCCATTTTCACCCATCAAAATAAAGCTATATTGTTGGACATTTTCATTTTTAGAGAATATAACCTGCGTACATCAAGTGTAGTGTAGTCACAATAACTAACTACATCTTACTGATACATTCTAATAAAAATTGTAACTACATAATTTCTGTACTTAAAAAATATTAATAAAAAATTTATATCGTGTTTTAATACTTAACTATTGTTATACTAATATATGTTAAAATAATAGTTTTTTTTTTTATCTATTTGTCTGTATGTTTGTTCCGGCATCACGTAAAAGCTATTGCACTAAATTAGATGGAGTTTTCACAGTTGTACTCCGGAAGGCTTAAATTAAAATCTGTTTTTTTCTTGTTATTTTGATACATCATCTAGACGTGACCTTATTTCATTACTTGACCTACGTCCTCCACCGTTTCAAGGAACATTTGCACAATCACGTTTTAGAATCAACTTCCAGCAGCAGTATTTCCGAACAGATTCGACATCGTAACCTTCAAGAAAAGAGTTCCTTGTTCCTTTTTAAAAACCGGCAGTACTTTTGGAATTCCTCCAGTGTTTTGAGTAATTATAGGTGGCGATAGTCACATAGTGACATTAAGTCAAGTAAGTCGTATACTTATTTGCTCTCTGTGTTGTAGAAAAAACCTCTTTTATTACGCAGTCGGGTAAAATAATGAAATGAAACCGTATGATATATATGATGTGATAAATGCCATCCCTACAACAAAGCCATGGTGGAAACAATTTGTATTCAGTGTGCCGGCACGTTAGCTTATAGATTTCGGGTCACGCGCTTGCCCCTTCTTAAATGGGAACACGCTGGGACAATAAAATGTAACCGCACAGATAAGCAGTATCACTTAAACTATATACCTAATATACTTTTTTTTTATACGACTTAGAATGGCAAACAAGCCGAGGGCCCACCTGATGGAAAGTGGTAACCGTCGCCTATAGACATGAGCAGTACTATGGACATAACAGAGTATACTGCTTCACTCATGACACCCCCACATACGTTACCACTCCTGAGGACCCAGGTGTTATTCCTCTGTACCCTGTAAATTCACGCCATATCCCACCCTTTAAACCGAAACCGCAACTACTTCACAATTGAAATACGAATGGAGCAGAGGTACCCAAGCCAACGACATTTGTACAAAGTCTCCCTCTGGTAATATACGTATATTAGAATGGGCATACGGTGACGAGATAGGATTGCAGGTGTGCTGTCGGCCTTTTAAAAAGGAATATGCTCTTTTGAAGGTAACGTTGTTGTATCGATTCGGAAATACTGCTGCTGGAAGTTGATACCAAAGAGTGGTTGTACGTGGGAGAAAGTGCTTCATGTACCAGTCGTAAATCGATTTGAAAAAATCCTTTTTTTTAACTGTGAGGACATACTGATTGATCTTACAGAAATATTATACGAATAGAGTCAATAGTTTAGTTTTTAAATTAAAATGATTAGATAGTTTTGCTACCTAACATAAGTCGGTTTCTTTATGTGGAACGCAGTCTTAATTATTTTTAGTACATATTGTATTATTATACTTCTCTTATTCAAAATTATATCTCTGGTAACATTATTATATGTTCAATAGATATTATAACTGCCTGTTTTGTAGGTAATATATTGTCTATTCGAAGGCTTAATGTATGTTAATCACTATCTAAATACAACGGCGGATGTAGTGCTTACCTGTAATTGGCGTATATATATTTTATACTAATATTAACTACTGCGTTGCCTTTAAATGTGTTAATATGTACGCTGCTAGTTTATCTTGATAAATAAATAAACATATAAGAAATAGAATTTTATTTAATCGCCAAATGTTATAGACCCGTTACAGAAGGGTAATTTTTTTGTACCAGAGGGAGACTTTGTACAAAATTCGATTGCTTGGGTACCTCTGTCTCATTCGTGTTTCTACCGTGAAGCAGTTGTGTTTGCATGGCTGTGTTTCGGTTTGAAGAGTGGGATATGGCGTGAATTTACAGGGTACAGAGGAATAATACCTGAGTCCTCAGGAATGGCAACATGGGTGGTATCATGGGCGAAACAGAATACTCTGTTATGTCCATGGTACTGCTCATGTCTATAGGCGACGGTTATCACTTTCCATCAGGTGGGCCGTCAGCTTGTTTGCCATTCTAAATTGTATAAAAAAAAATTAGGGTCACAAATAAAAAAAAAACAATTGAATATATGTGATATAAGTGAAATTAATCGAGTCCATCTAAAGTAAGAATGAAGTAAGAAATTAAAGTACACTTACCTCCTAATCGAAGCTCAGCAGCAGCCTGAGCGGAGTCTAAGTCCCTCTCGGCGAAACACTGGTACATGCCTCGGTGGACTCGCATCACTGAATGGACCCTTAGCACTCGCTCGGCTCCCCCCACGGGCACGCCGTCGTGGAGCCACCTTATCCTCGCATCACCACCTTCCAGTGAACAATTGAACGTCACTGAACTGCCTGAGTTTGCTATCTGCAAATGAAAATAAAAAAAAAATGTTCTATAAGATTGTAGGGAGATTTTGTAGAAAGTCATCAATGGGTACTATGGTATACAATGGTATATCTGTCTCGCTTCTTTGGACTTTTTTTGTAATGGGTGATAATGGCATGGTAACCCCGCTTGCGCTATCGGTATACACTGGCGGGGAATCAGTGAGGGATGACAGATAAGAATGAAAGCAGGTCAGTTAGCCCCTCCTGACGAATTCAACTAGAAGTAGCTACGATGGTTTCCAGAGGGAATCACTTAGAGGTCGACCTGAGAGGGTATATTGCTAGTAATGGGACTATTTGGCTCCAATACTAACAATCCCTTTTCCCCCCGCTTCTTTGGACTTTCAAACAACTTGTTTACTGCATTATGTGAGATATGGCAGTGTAATTGCTGGCTACTATAATTAAAAACATATCACAGTGTTTGGAAATACACAAGTGATGACTCCAGTTCTAGAAGTGTTTATGGGCTGCAGTGATGCTTGACTGCATAGATGTGAGTCATCGTTTTGCCAGTAGTTGCCACGCTTGGTAGGCAGGTCAGCAACCGCAGCTAAACTTTGGTGATATTTTAAAAGCGATGTTGCTACCTATCCCTCGAGCATTAAGTTCCCTTAGTCGCCACTTATAACATCCGCCCGATATTTTGTTAAGACTTTGTTTTATGAAACTAGCTTTTAAGTATCCAGTAATAAACAGATATAGATGCACAGTGAAAAAAGATAAAAGATACATATACAAAAAATAAATAAATAGAAATAAAAGGCATGAAATAAATAACAATTTTTCCCTTCTTGCGTGTGCCACAGTAACACAAAGTGGTCACAACTTGGCTTATTGCTTTGCCCTCAAAAAAGCAAAACACTGATATTCCGTTGTGGACAAAAGCAAGCTGGGAAATCCCGTAGACAAAATAATTAAAAAACAAAAAGTAATATAAATAAAATACATTCACTATTATTTCATATTTTATTATAATTAATAATTAAAATTGTAATGGAGAAGTCATTTAACGTTCCAAGAATAATGTTAAATAGCAGCTTATGTTTTTGTCAGGTGAGTTTTCAATAACTTCACTATACACAATAGTGAAAGATCATAAATACTATAATTTAAATTCATTTTCTAGTGTGTACATAAAGCGTAGCAATATTTTCCCAAAGTGACCGACTTGGCATAGGAAGACAATCGGCGACAGTTCGATCTCATGAATAATTCACTTGGGAGAGTCAGTTCCCGCCGACAGCGTGTCACGGGCTCGCCCAAACCAAATTACTTACCAGTTCATGTGTAACAAGGAGTATGGGATAGAGGGGATGAAAAAATCTTAGCTGAAAATGCTACGTCTAAATTTATTAATCCTTGAAATAATAATATAGATGAACTATTATTCGAAGAATAACAAAGATAGGATGCTGCATTTTTGGGAATATATTCCGTTCAAATTAGTTTTAAAGGTGTTACTGTACAAGACAAGTAACAAAATGAAGACTATGATGGTACATTGTACAAAGATCCAATGACCACGTTATGAAGAAGTACTTCTTCATGGCTTTATACAAGATTTACCATTTATATTTGTGACATAATTATTAATTTATTAATCATTAAAGACGAACTTCTACCATCGTACGGCTCGCCATCGACAGGGAGTACATCCTCATGTCCTACAGCCTCAATGGTCGCGTACTGCGCGGTTTCAGAGATGTTTCCTCCCACGAACACTTAGGTTGTTGAATGAGCTCCCTGCCGAGGTTCTTCCAAGAGACTACAGCATGAGGTTCTTCAAAGGGGGGGTAAAGAGGTTTCTTAAAGGTCGGCAACGCGCGCGTAATACCTTTGATATTGCAGGTGTTCATAGGCTACAGTAACCACTTACCATCCGGTGGGTCGTATGCTTGTTTGCCACCTCAGTGGTATAAAAAAAAAGAATATCATGTTTAGAGAATTCAAATGCTAAGAATTTATGGCTTTATGTGTTTTTAAATCTTTTAATATTACCGCTCTTAATATCGCCAAGTCTATTATTGCAATGAAGTGTTTCTACCTTTCTATTCCGCTAGGAAATTCCCTTTTGAATAGAAATCGTAATTTAAAACCTTTCAAAATGTTCAATGCTTCGCCCAATAAGGATGTTTCCAAACTCTTGATAACAATGTTTATTATAATAGGTAATAGCTTTGAATTCATAATAAAATCACTAAGTAACAACATTTAATTTAAAATTAAATCAAAGTTTGGCATCGTTAATATCTCTTTGGATTTAACGAAGTTTCTTTGTATCTTGTTTGATTTCATAGCTTTTGTTGTAAAGGGAATCGTTGTAATGTACCTTGAGCGTAAATTAAGAGAGGCACCGTGAATATAAACGTCTATTGTCATAAGTTTTGATACTCTTTTTTTTTTTTATTTAAAAATTTTCTCTTTTTTTAACTTATTTGGACTTTAATCTGCAACTAATACAAAAAAAAAAAGTAAAAAGAGTTATTGGCATCAGTTTAACATTTAAAAAAATAGTATCAAATTTGATATCTAGCTTTACCAGAGGGAGACTTTGTACAAAAGTCGATTGCTTAGGTACCTCTGTCCCATTCGTGTTTCTACCGTGAAGCAGTTGTGTTTGCATGGCTGTGTTTCGGTTTGACGCGTGGGATGTGGTGTGAATTTATAGGGTACAGAGGAATAACATCTGAGTCCTCAGGAATGGCAACGCACGGACGGTATCATGGGCGAAACAATATACTCTGTTATATCCATGGTACTGCTCATGTCTATAGGCAACGGTTACCACTTTCCATTAGGCGGGCCGTCAGCTTGTTTGCCATTCTAAGTTGCATAGAAAAAAAATTTCATAACGTACTTCTTGTTTGATAGAGCTCTTTAAATTATTTCTATGTATCTTACGTCATCTATTTATCTTAACGCATTATCTATCCTCTATTATTCATTCATTCTAAGTTGTATAAAAAAAAAAAAAAAATTATGCTGACCTCATTTTATAATAAAAATAATCACAATTATAAGTCGCTAACTGTCCACTGCTGGACATAAGCCTTCCCAGTAAGGGAAATTTTCCCAGTAGCTGCCACAGAAGGCTGGTAGATAACGGCTTTTTTTATGGGTGAAAATGGTATGGTATCCCCGCCTGCGCTAACGGGATACGCTGGCGGAGCACCAGTGAAGGGTGATTGATGAGAATGAAAACAGGCCAGTCAGCCCATCATGACGAATTCACAAGTAATTAACCATGATAGTTTCCAGGGAGAACCGCGTGGAGATCGACCTCGCTGGTTATATTGTTAGCAATGGGATTCTTAGTTTCCATTATTTTTTTCAATTTTCATTCTTTTATCTCTTTTACTGTGTATTATGTGTATGTTTGTATTGTAATTTATGTGTAATGTAAAGTAATGAAATAAATTATCTATCTATCTATCTATCTATCATTACTAACAATCCCCTTCTCCCTTGATAACGGCAGTTAGGCTTTGGTGATGTTTTAAGAGGGACGCTGCTACCCATCCATCGACTGTTGATTTCCCTTAATCACTTATGACAAACGATGGGATAGGAAGGGGTGGCCGATTCTATATTTAAATAAAACGACAAGAAAAATAACAATAGCCTAATATTTTTACGCTGATCAACTGGCTTGATATGGAGTTGTTATTTTGAGATTTGCTTTTTCTTGTTCATTTATTTGTTTTTGTGGTACAATAACAGATTACAAACAAATCTTTTAACAATAGAATACAACAATAGCATTATAAGTTTGCAGTCCAATTATAGTTGTACTCAACATTCACAGAGGTGAAACAGCATACGTTGATTTTTATTACAAAAAAAGAATTAATGATAAAAACTACATACAAAACAAGAATCAAAAACAAAACTGCTAAAATACGAGTATGCTTATAAACTATTAGGTTATCAATGTATGTAAAGTGCTTCGAAACAATGAAAATTTCTGATAGAATATGCCAATATCCGATTTACAATCAATGTCATTGTACAATTTGCACATTCTGTACATTGGATTATTATATGACACATTATTGTTTGAGAACGGATTAGAAAAAAGTTTAGTTTGAATTGTATATTATCTCTTTTCTTTCGAAGAGCGCAAACGTAAGATTAGAATCAACTTTATTCATTGTAAAAACAATCCTATAAATGTCACAAACATAGCTATGTAGTTGCGAAATCTCAATGTTCAGTCGATATATATTCTTGTTTTGTACCCGTGTGCTACATTTGAAAATCAAGACTCTTGAGAGAAAGCTTTTACGCAGCAACGTAAACAGAGCAAATAAGAAGTTATAGTTTGGTAATCTTTTCTGTTTAGTCAGAGAAAAAAAAAACATCAGCCACGTATTTTATGTACTACGCTCACATCTTTCTATTGAAGGTACAGATCACATCGCCCGCGATGTGTCTTTCGCCCCTGTGCTCGGAATACTTATTTTTCAATTTCCCCATAGACCGGTGCCGATCTGTGATCTGAATTTAAGGTAAAATCGAGCTTTTTTTAAACCTAGAGTTATATAAGACCTAGTATTGATTATTTCACTTGGTTTATTATTTGGTTTTTATTTAGTATTTACCTGAGGGAGACTTTGTACATATGTCGATTGCTTGGGTACCTCTGTCCCATTCGTGTTTCAACCATGAAGCAGTTGTGTTTGCATTGCTGTGTTTCGGTTTGAAGGGTGGGATATGGCGTGAAAAAAAAAAAAAAAAAAAAAAAAAAAAAAAAAAATGTAATTCAATTGAGTTTCTTGCCAGTTCTTTTCAATTGGATCTATATACCGAACTGGACGTTAGGGAAAATATAAAATTATAATGTAAAAATTTGACGTTCATAAGCGGCTAAAATGTCCTACATGAATAAATGATTTTTGAATTTTGAAAAAAATTTTGAATTTACAGGGTACAGAGGAATAACACATGAGTCCTCAGGAATGGCAACGCATGAGAGGTATCGTGGGCGAAACAGTATGCTCTGTTATGTCCATGGTACTGCTCATGTCTATAGGGGACGGTTACCACTTTCCATCAGGTAGGCCGTCAGCTTGTTTGCCATTCTAAGTTGTATAAAAAAAAAGGTTTGTATATTTATTCATGTTTGATATTATTTATTTCGTCTTCAGTAGTGTGTGTTTCTATAGAATTTTATTTTATTAAAGTCAGTATCAGGTAATCTTTTTTTTTTTGATGGGTGAAAATGGTATGGTAACCCCGCCTGCGCTAACGGGATACGCTGTCGGAGCACCAGTGAAGGGTGATAGATGAGAAAGAAAACAGGCCAGTTAGCCCATCATGATGAATTCATTAGAAATTAACCATAATAGTTTCCAGAGGGAACCGCGAGGAGGTCGACCTGGTTGGGTATATTGCTAGCAATGGGATTCTCAGTCTCCATTACTAACAATCCCTTTCCCCCAGGTAACCGTATTGATGATTTAATTTTATATACTAACTATAATAACTTTATCCACGGCTTCGTCTGGGTTTAAAAAAGCCTATATTCTTCTTTATCCCATATAAGTACATGTGTACCAAATCTCGTAATAATTGGCCAAGTCGTCAAGACTTTTAAGGTAACAAACAAACTCACTTTCACATTTATAATATTAGTAAAGACTATTATTATAATTTTTCATTGCTAAGCGTAAGTGTCTTCTATTTGCCGCGAATTGCGGTTCCCATTCTAAGCCATCTAAAGTCTCTAACTTTATAGAAACAGACAAATATTTCACGACACTATTATATAAAACTCCAGCAATAATTTTGGCCTAACTGCAGTTGCCAATCCGCCTGCCAAGCTTGACGACTACTGTCAAAACCCCCCAAGGGGAAGGCTTATGTTCAGCAGCGGACGGTTAAGGGCTGGTATGATTCATTTCAGTTTAATTTTTCAAATATCCCCTCTAAGTGTGTGTATGAACTAAACTAAAGTAAAGAACTGACCTGCAACTGCGGCTGGACATTCACCACCAGCCTGGAGCGCACCCTCAGTCTAGCGTCTCGTCTCTGTTCTCCGTACTGGTTGTGGGCGCGGCACGTCCACACACCACTGTCCGACAGCTGCGCGCGCCGGATGATCAGAACCTGTTCCGATACCGATATCCTGATGCTGTTAGAGACAGGGCTCAGACGTCCATTGGAGTGGCGGAACCAACTGCATCAAAAATTATAACTTTAATATAAATATCATGATTTTAAGCAAATGTTACTTTGTCTTGTTTCCATGCTTATTAAAAAAAACCACTTAGAATGGCAAACAAGATGACGGCCCACCTGATGGGAAGTTAACAGAGGGAGACTTTGTACAAAAGTCGATTGCTTGGGTACCTCTGTCCCATTTGTGTTTCAATCGTGAAGCAGTTGTGTTTGCATGGCTGTGTTTCGGTTTGAAGGGTGGGATATGGTGTGAATTTACAGGGTACAGAGGAATAACATCTGAGTCCTCAGGAATGGCAAAGCATGAGGGGTTTCATGGGCAAAATAATATACTCTGTTAGGTCGGTGGTACTGCTTATGTTTATAGACGATGGTTACCACTTTCCATCAGGTGGGCCGTCAGCTTGTTTTCCATTCTAGGTTGTATAAAAAAAAGTGATAAAGTGATAGTCTCCTATAGACAAGAACAGTACCATGAATATAAAAGAGTATACTGTGTCGCCTGTAATATATAAAATATATTATATATTATATTGTATTACATTGATTTACCTGTAAAGTCTTGACTTCTCTCGTAAGGAGATATTTATAATTCAATATAAGTATAAATAAATAGTTAAAGGTCTCTTTAATACCTTCTTTATTTCAAATTTGTATTTTTTTATTTTGTTATTTTTTTGCATCCTAGAATGCCAAATAAGCTACCAACCACCTGATGGAAAGTGGTAACCATCGTCTATAGACATAAGCATTACCTTGGACATAACAGAGTATAATGTTTCGCCCGTGATACCCCCCATGCGTAACCATTCCTGAGGATTCAGGTACTATTCCTCTGTACCCTGTAAATTCACTGCCATATCCCACCGTTCAAACCGAAACACAGCCATATAAACACAACTGCTGTACGGTAGAAACACGAATGGGACAGAGGTGGCCAAGCAAAAGACTTTTGTACAAAGTCTCCCTCTGGTAAATATTGCGTATCTATTTATCATCTTTCTATCCAACTTTATATTATTATTATAGTATTCTAAATAGATTCGCAGACAAAATCAATAGTAGTACCTAAATTACATCGTTAACCTTTTCAGAGTACTTACAAGGACATAACGGACAGAGACATGGCGCCCTGTCACTTATTTATATGTTGCAGTCAAAACTCTTAACCAGTCAAAAGTACTATTGACTAGCAAAATCAGCCAAAAGTACTTTAAAACGTATGCTTTAGTCATTAAAAAAATAATACTTTTAACTTTTTTTTTTTATACAACTTAGAATGGCAAACAAGTTGACGGCCCACCTGATGGAAAGTGGTAACCGTCACCTATAGACATGAGCAATACCATGGACATAACAAAGTATACTGTTTCGCCCATGATACCCCCCCATGCGTTGCCATTCCCGAGGACTCAGGTGTTATTCCTCTGTAGCCAGTAAATTCACGCCATACCCCACCCTTCAAACCGAAACACAGCCATGCAAACACAACTGCTTCACGGTTGAAACACGAATGGGACAGAGGTACCCAAGCAATCGACTTTAAGTAAAATAACAGTAAAAGTATCTAACCTAACCTAGCCGCAAATTTGTTTTATTCCCACCAATCATCCCTCACTGGTGCCTCGCCAGTGTAAACCGATAGCGCACGCGAGATAATCATTCCAGAATCATCCATTAAAAAAATCACAAATTTGCAGTCAAAAGTACTAATAACCAATAATTTTCAGTCAAAGCCACTTTTGAACAGCTGTTCAATCAAAAGTACTTTTGACTGATTTTGCTAATCAATAGTACTTTTGACTGGTTCAGAGTTTTGACTGCAACATATACACAAATTTAATTTATAATAAGTTATAGACATATAAAATTATAAATATTAAGTTTAACCTTAACAGAAATACAACTGTGAAAATTATATTAATTTTGGTGCAATTTTTAGTGATTTTGGAACAAATATATATATGTGTGTGTACGTGTGCGTGTGCGTGTGCGTGTGCGTGTGCGTGTGCGTGTGCGTGTGCGTGAGCGTGTACGTGTACGTGTACGTGTGCGTATACGTGTGCGTGTGTGTATACGAGACGGGTGTGTGTGCGAGTGCGTGTGCGTGTACATGTGCGTGTGCGTGTGTGTATACGAGACGGGTGCGTGTGCGTGTGCGTTAGCGTGTGCGTGTGCGTGTGTGTATACGAGACGGGTGTGTGTGCGAGTGCGTGTGCGTGTACATGTGCGTGTGCGTGTGCGTATGTGTGTGTGTGTTGTGTATATGTATATATTTTTATAAATATTGTAAGCAAGGGCGGACTTATCTCTGACAGAGATCAATATACAGACAAGTGAATTTATTTTTAAAATTTTGCTTTCGCTTTTTTGATGATCGTATTGAAACTCTATCTCTTTTCAGATTAAAGAAAGAATTTTCCATATCGGTTTACAACTGACGGAGTTATGAGGTGACAAATATATATAAAAAAAATACAAGCAAATTGAGAAGCTACTGTTTTTGGAGTTAGACAAGCATTACCTGTAAGTGGGTGGTGGGTTCCCTACGGCGCAGCACACGAGCCGTATGTCGCCTCCCTGGGGCACCATCTCGTCTTCAGACACGGTCAGCATGCGGGGCGCCATGCTGCCCGTTGCATCTGCATATACAATTATTAATCGTTTAAATCATTTGTCATGTGCTTCTACCATAGAATACGCTACCCCTTCCTCTCCTATGGGTGCTGTAAGAGGAGACTAAGAAAGGCCGAGGGGTGGGCAGCAGTGTCCCTCTTAAAACATTTCCAAAGCCTAACTGCAGTTGCTTATCCGCCTACTAAATGCAGCAACTAGTGGCAAATCCCCTAATTTATATTAAGTTGTATAGTTTATATTAAGCAGTGGACAGTTAAAGGCTGATATGATGACGATGACAAATCATTTAAATCACCAGTTAAGAGTTTCACCTCAGAGTGGCTTACAAACAAAATTGCACTTTTTTAACTTCATTTGCAAGTGACGGTTATCACCTTCCAACATTCGGTGTTGTCTATATTTGACACTGTCTTACACAAAAAAAATCTCTATCAATCAACAGGGACATCTCATGCCCGCCAGATGATGTGTGGGCGAGTGAGGTAGGGGCCTTGGGGTATACCCCACTACCCCGGCTTCAACTCCGAAAGCGACGACCTCCGGGTCACTGGGTTCTTCAGCCGGCATACACTGATGGTCTGTGTATGCCGGCGTGGTGTCTTCATTCTTGAAGGCTTCCTTTTTCGCTCTTGTTAGACATAATATAAATGTATTTTTTTTAATATTGATTTTTTTTATAATGTATATTTTATTTTATTTAAAAAAAAAACTTCGAATACCATAATCAGATAATAATTTTACCAGAGGGAGACTTTGTACAAAAGTCGATTGCTTGGATACCTCTGTCGTATTCGAGTTTCAACCGTAAAGCAGTTGTGTTTGCATGGCTGTGCTTCGGTTTGAAGGGTGGGATATGGCGTGAATTTAAAAGGTACAGAGGAATAACACCTGAGTCCTTAGGAATGGCAACGCATGGAAGATATCATGGGCGAAACAGTATAGTCTGTTATATCCATGGAACTGCTCATGTCTATAGGCGACGGTTACCACTTTCCATCAGGTAGGCCGTCAGCTTGTTTGCCATTCTAAGTTGTATAAAAAAAATCACAAAAATAATTTCCAAGCACGGTCATTACACATAGAGGTCCCCTATTTAGCTATATCTGCTTCATAGATTAAAATTCTTCTGTTTTGTAATTTATAAGTGAAAAAAATTAATTATTAAAAACAAATACTTTAAAATATTGTATGCAACTTGAAATTATATTTTTGAACTATCTCATAGAGAGAGTAATATCATAGATTTATTAGATCGAGATCAGTTTCGTCGTAATTTCTGAGGGCTAAGTGGTCATGCGAAAAAAGATAGATGCTGTCGAGATGTGGTGCTGGCGAAGGATGCTGAGAATTCCCTGGACAGCAAAGCGCACGAATATATTTATCCTGACGCAACTCTGCATAAAAGATAGGCTCTCGACAGTCTGCTATCGGAGGATTCTTGGATACTTCGGTCATGCTGCTCGACAACAGTTCGACAATCTGGACAAACTAATGGTTGTAGGCAAGATAGAGGGAAAAAGACCACGCGGACGATTGCCTAATCGATGGTCGGACCAAGTAACTGCCGTTACGGGACTGTCAATTGCAGCTGCCCTGTAAGAAGCTGAAGACTGGGCGAAATGGAATAACATCATAAGAGAGGTAACAGACACCTTCAAGGACACGATCTTCAGTAATAAAGAGGACGAAGAGAGAGAAGTGGTCATGCCTCTTTAATCTGTATTCACACTAGTAGTGATGTTCCAGTCTTTCTAACTGAACATTACATTGTAAACTATTTGTTTTTACTTGTAAATTAAATAGGTGAGACTTACGCAGCACAGTAACAACGGCGGGAGAACTTTTCCGCTTTTCACCAGTGAGAGCATGTTGTGCTTCACACGAGTAAGTACTAGCGTCATCAGGCTTCGCGTCTCGCACCACCAGTATATCACCACGGCTGCCTCCCACTATATATCGACCTCCTGTAAAAAAATCCAAATTGAATACTAGATTGTTGTAATACATGGCTGTGTTTCGATTTGAAGGGTGGGATATGGCGTGAATTTACAGGGTACAGAGGAATAACAAATGAGCCCTCAGGAATGGCAACGCATGGGGGGTATCATGGGCAAAACAGTATATTTTTTTTTTTTTTTTATACAACTTAGAATGGCAAACAAGCTGACGGCCCACCTGATGGAAAGTGGTAACCGTCGCCTATAGACATGAGCAGTACCATGGACATAACAGATTATACTGTTTCGCCCATGATACCCCCCATGCGCGCCATTCCTGAGGACTCAGGTGTTATTCCTCTGTACCCAGTAAATTCACGCCATATCCCACTCTTCAAACCGAAACACAGCCATGCAAACACAACTGCTTCACGGTTGAAACACGAATGGGACAGAGGTACCCAAGCAATCGACTTTTGTACAAAGTCTCCCTCTGGTAAAAATATTCTGTTATGTCCATGGTGCTGCTCATGTCTATAGGCGACGATTACCACTTTCCATCAGGTAGGTCGTCAGCTTGTTTGCCATTCTAAGTTGTATAAAAAAAAGACAAAATTTGCACTGGTGTTATTATTCCTCAAATAATAACACAATATTTTCGCACCAAGTCCATTGCGAGGTAGATAGAATGACCCCAGTGCCGAATGCCTTATTATTATTATCATATATTTTTTTTTTGATGTGTGAAAATGGTACGGTAACCCCTCCTGCGCTAACGGAATACGCTGGTGGAGCACCAGTGAAGGTTGATCGATGACAATGAAAACAGGTCAGTTAGCCTATCATGAGGAATTCATCAGGAATTAACCATGATAGTTTCCAGGGAGCACCACGAGGAGGTCAACCTGGTTGGGTATATTGCTAGCAATGGGATTCTCAGTCTCCATTACTAATAATCCCTTTCCCCCCTATTATTAATTTATTATTATATATTGTTTGGTGTTCTCTACCAATCAATCATTGGGCAAACCGAGAAATAAGTAAGGATGCATTATTGAATAGAGAAAAAATAAAGCTATACATGATATATTTATTTATTTTTCTATCTATCTATAATGATTTGTGCTTGTAGCATTATTCCATCGGTCACAGGGCCCCCAACGCCGCTGCGTATAAAATATAGGACCGTTTTCCCGTGAGTGCGCTCCTAATTTCAAAGTCATGAGCGTTTTAGTGTCGCCACTCCAATCTTATTTATCTCCTCCGCCATCAAATGCTCTCGTAGATAAAGGCTCCTGTCACTATTATGATGTGCTTTGTTTTTAACGCGAAGAAAAAAGAAAAGTAAATCACTTGACAGAATATTCAGCTTTTATATTGTCTAATACAATAAAAAAATTAGACGATTACGATACATGGGAGATATTTAAGAAAAAAATATTATATATATATATATATATATATATATATATATATATATATATATATATATATATATATATATATATCTTTAGTGCATTTGAAAAAAAAGATACAATGATTAGTTTAATAACAGTTTAGCAAAGATGATGATGATCTTATCTCTAAAAGAGATCTTTTTTAGCCAATCCAATGCAGTCAGAGTGAAAATAATTGTTATTTAATAATAATAAATAATAGGTATCTATAAGTGGATAGTATATGGCGGGGGGAAGCACAAAAGATCCCAATGGGTCGACGTGCAACGGCTTAGCTGACCCATACGCAAATAAAAGATAAGGGAAATTGTAATGAAATGTAATGAAACCAATGAAACAGATGTTTCGAACATTAGAAATAAATGTATGAATTTGGAATGCGATAATTTGTAAATACAAGTAGATTTCGCATAACAAAAACAGTTTTTTTGCTCTGCAAAGAAAAACGGCAGTAGAATGACTGACATTGCAAAATAAACTTGAAACCATCACGGAACAAATATCAAAAGACTGCAAACATATTTTTCATTTCTTTAAATGGAATTTTGTGAATGCAAAGCCCCCCTTTATGGGGGAGGCCTACGTTCAGCAGTAGACAATAAACGGTTGATATAATCAGCGTCATTTTTCAATCTGTCATTGTACATCTGTAATTTTTTTTACATCAATGTCAATAGAATTTTAAAAGAACACGACTGACTTCATTATAACGGTTTGTTAGCGTAACTTTATAAATTATCATCAAAAACTATTTCAATAAAGCCGGCGACCGCACGTGGACAAATTGGGAATCCTTTAATGGTGATGAGGGTAAATGGCATTTATTGTGAACGGACGGGACCAAGCGAACCCTGATGAGGTCAATTGATAATTTGATACTGGTTAAGCTTCTCTTTGAAGTGTGACACGCTTCTTTCAGTAATTATTTCGTAGATGTCTCGTGATGATAATGCAATAAGTATAGGGATTTTATTTTATTAACATTGTATGTAGTATTATTTTCACTCTACATTTGTTGTTTATCAAACAGAGAGAGTATTATAATATGATCTATTCATAACAGCATGCATATGTCTTGTATATCGAACGTGAATTATATAAAAATACTAGTGTCTGACCGAAACAGGTTTTACAGCCGAAACTGAAACCGAACTTTCGGCCTTAGTTTCAGTTTCGGCCGAAACCGAAACCGAAATCGAAACTTAATGAAACATATTTAAAATTTCTCTTCTATACTGAAATCTAGTCTATTTTTACACAATTATTTACACAAACATATGTAATTCAAGGGTAATAATAAACACTAATTAAAGTATGTAACAAATATGTCAAAATATGTTAAAATTATGACTTACTTACTTATTTTGTAAGTAAACTTATAAAAAAAAAAACAACTTTCAGTTAGACACACACACAATACAAACACACACATAAAGTTTCGGTGCGGCCGAAAGTTTCGGCCAATGTTTGGCCGAAACCGAAACTAAGGCAGAACGTAGAATTTCTGGCTGAAACTAGTCGTAACCGAAACCGAAAGTTCGGTCGTACACTAAAAATACAGATATATATAAACAAGATAGATAAAATATATTACGGTTGGCAGAATGGCCGCACTATATTACAGCTACTAAGGCTCCACTAACATAGTTTGTAAGATTTTTTGTTACTAACATTCATAGGCTCTTATTGTCTGAAAATAAAGATGTTTTACATTATTTTTATTTTTATAAACATTATTTCTTTTCGATTTGTATTATAAAATCGATATTTTGAATTAAGAAAGAATAAGTTAAAGATTTTATCAAAAACTGCCTAATAATAACAACAGAATTATGAGATACCAGAGGGAGACTTTGTACAAAAGTCGTTTGCTTGGGTACATCTGTCCCATTCGTGTTTCAGCCATAAAATAGTTGTGTTTGCATGGCTATGTTTCAGTTTTAAGGGTGGGATATAGCGTGAATTTACAGGGAACAGAGAAATAACACCTGAGTTCTCAGGAATGGCAATGCATAGGGGGTATCATGGGGGAAACAGTGTACTCTGTTATGTCCATGGTACTGCTCATGTCTATAAGCGACGGTTACCACTTTCCATTAGGTAGGTCGTTAGCTTGTTTGCCATTCTAAGTTGTACAAAAAAAAGTTAAAATAAAATCGAAATCATGCAAAAAAAATTAGAATTAGCAAAGATGTCGCGTAAAATAGATATACACAAAAATACATTAGAATTGGTAACCTATTTTTAATGTTGTTGCATTTATTGTAGTTTCTTCGTGCTGGAGCTTCAAAAGAATAACCACAATAATGACGATGAATGCAGGTATACAGAGATAAATATAAACAATGACTTGAACTGTTTCTCCTTTAATATTATTGCGTGTGACTCCGCCGAGGCGAAACTTTCCCCTCCGCGTTCACCTCTTGCGATCAGATAACTTTCAGTAGCGAGTTTTTCAATGAATTCTAAATGTTGCAAACTGCCCCGTCTACCATCTCTTTCTTGCAGGCCTTTTATCTATTTTTATCAATGTTCAACATCGTGCATCTCTGTCTAGCCTCCTGTTTTCCCTTAAATTGACGTCAGTGTTAACTGGTATCTTTAAATACTTTGTCTCTAAAAATAGCTTTTCTTTTTATTTGCTACCGTCTATTATATTTTTTTTTATTTATATCACTGAAGTGGCAAACAAGCATACGGCCCACCTGATGGTAAGCGGTTACCGTAGCCTATGAACGCCTGCAATACCATAATATATTTACGTTTAACAATTGATAAATTAATCCTAATACCTATTTTCCTTCTTTTCCGTGAGTGTCGTAAGAGACGGCTAAGGGAGGGCGAGGGATGGAACAGCAGCGTCCCTTTTAAAACATCTCCAAAGCCTAATTGCAGTTGCCAACCCGCCTGCCACGAGTGCCAACTACTGGCAAAACCTCCCAAGGGGGAGGCTTATGTTCAACAGTAGAAAGTTAAAAGCTGATATGATGATGATTTGCTTGTTTTAAATTAAAATTCATGATTTTATTTATTTTAATTAAAAATACATATTAATTCGAAAATAATTTGAGACATTATTTGGCAAATTATGACATTGTATATTCATGTTTATAGGCGGCCGTTTTCCATCAGACATACAGATCGTTTATTATTCATGGTAGTTTAAAATGAAATCAACGTAGATAAATTTCATTAAAACATTTTGTTCTTGTATATTTTAAGCTTCAGCGTTATTTTGCAATCAATCAAAATAATAAAAAAAAAAAAACATTTATTTATTTATTCCTTATTGTTTTTATTACAAAAAAATATCCTGTACAAAAAAATGGACTTAATTTTATAAAACATTCTCACTTTGTGGATAAATTTATTTTTCAATGATGAAAAACATATTAAATTAGTGGGAAATGTGATTATTTCGCGTGTCATATTCGTATTTTTAATTAACCTAAACATCTATGAGCATAGAGGGAGACTTTGTACAAAAGTCGATTGCTTGGGTACCTCTGTCTGGGATATGGCGTGAATTTACAGGGTACAGAGGAATAACACCTGAGTCCTCAGGAATGG